TATCGCCAGCTGGGCTACTTTTATTTTAAAAAATATGTTTTCTATTGATTTTAGAGAGGAAGGGAGAGGGAGAGAGAGAAACATTGATTGGCTGCCTCCTGCACTCCCCCTACTGGGGATCAGGCCTGCAGCCCCCAGCATGTACCTTGACCAGGAATTGAACTATGGACCCCTTGGTGCATGGGACAGTGCTCAACCAACTGAGTCACACTGGCCATGACCAGGACTGGGTTTATATTTCACTTTTTTTTTTTAGCCCAAACGAGTAAAAAACATTGCTATCTTACAAATCTTTATCACTCTTGTTTTGTATAACAGAATTTTCCAAGAACATGTTTATTTCTCAAATGAACAAGAGTGGGAGACAAATTTAAGTAACTTCAGGTGGCTGGTAAATAAGCCTTCCTACTGGAAGGAACTGCAGTTCAAACTTGGGACGGACTTTTTGTCTCAGTGGGAGAATTGATCTCTGTGGTCCTGTCTCCAGGGCCTCCGATAATAGAGAGCGCTCTGGGTCTTCTGCTGAAAGCAGTGGGGACTAGTGTGTGTGTGTGTGTGGGGGGGGGGCGGGTGGAGTTGTTTGCTTACTCTGTTTTCCTTCTGCCCCTGCAGACATTGCTGTGGAATTGCTCCAGAAGGCAGCCCCCAGCCCTATTCGCCGACTCCAGAAGAAATATGTAGCCCATGTGTCCCGGTGAGCCTGGAATTGAGGGGGACAGGATGAAAGTGTTTGGAACCTAGAACCTAGAAAGAAGGGAATGATTATCTCTAAAGAGAAGCTGTAAAGACACAGGGGTGGGCCTCAGGAGTTACAAGAGCTGAAAAGCCCTTGGGTTTAATTACTGATCCTTTCCACCACCTAGGGAGGCATGCATCTCCCCGTGTGCTATGATGCTAGCTCTGGTGTACATTGAACGGCTCCGGCACCGAAACCCGGACTACCTACAGCATGTGTCCTCCTCTGACTTGTTCCTGATCTCCATGGTAGGACAGCCCCTCCCCTCATTTCCCTGGTGAGCCAGGAGCCCAATGTGAGCTCTGTTGACACCACCTCTGGTGCCTCTGCAGATGGTGGCCAGTAAGTACCTCTATGATGAAGGGGAGGAGGAGGAGGTCTTCAATGATGAATGGGGAGCTGCAGGGGGTGTGGCTGTGCCCACTCTCAATGCCCTGGAGAGGGGCTTCCTGAGTGCCATGGTGAGTAGCTATGCTTTCTCTCTCTCTCTCTCTCTCTCTCTCTCTCTCTCTCTCTCTCTCTCTGTTTCCCTAGCCCATCTTTGTGTTCCTTTCACCCTTTGTCTTTTCTCTCTCACCCTTCTGTTTCTTAATTTCTCTTTCTGCCTGTCCTCCTTGTTAGTATCTTCCCTTTTTAGCCCTCTGGACTAACTATAGCCTTTGAAGGTGCCTGTGTAGTGAGGCCAGAAATGGAGCATCTCTGCTCCCCCATTCCTCCAGGCCCACCTGGGTACACTTTGAGACAAGAGTTTATCCTACTGGGTGCTGATTATTTGCTTCCAGACTTTCTCTACTCCTAGCCTCATGGGTCATTAGCAGGATTATTTTCTCCCTGTGCCATTAATGGAGGGTGTAATGTGAATGCAGATATGTGTTGATTAAATTAGTTAATACATAAAAGCTCTTGGAATAGTATTTGGCACATAGTAAGTGTCAAGTAAGTATTACGCATAGTGGCAGTTGTAGTGCTGTTGCCGCTCTGGTTATTTAATGATTGTGGCTCATGTCTGAGCCTGGTTTGGTGCCCTTCTCTTCATACCCACAGGATTGGCGTCTCTACACTGAACCTCGGGAGATATTTGAGGTGCTGAGCTGGTTAGAGAGCTGGTAAGTTCTAGGAGTTGAGGGGCTTAAGGGCTGAGGCCTAAGCCATAGGAGCTAGACAGAGATAAGGGTCTGTGTTACGGGGTGGGGGTAAGGGGAGCGAAGGGAGGAGACAAGGAAGAGAATTGTCCAAGACAGTGGTTCCCAAACCTGCCTGCCCTTTTTGTAATCAGTCAGTCACCTTTGGGAGGGTGGGAGAAGATTATAAAAAATACAGATCAAGATCTCACCCTCAGTTTCTGGGATCAACAGGCAACCTAGGAATCTGTACTTTTAACAAGTTCCCCAGTGTTCCCTGGTGGGTCCCTGGGAGAATGTAGGTACCATTGGGCCAGCTGCAGACGCTCTGTCTTTTCTCCCCTCCCAACAGTGTGGCTGAGCATCAGGGACGGCGACGGGGCTGGTACACCTACACAGACCTGTGTGTGCTGCTGGAGCAGCCAGCCTGGCAGCTGGCCCTGGGCTCCCTCTGCCATCGGCTGGCAAAGGTGAGAAGGAGTTAGGAAGGATAGGAGGCTTGAGCAGGTTGGTGTGTGGGTGGGATGATGTAAAGCAAATGCTAAAAGGGTTTAGGAGAAGATGGTGACAGAGAGCTCTAACTTGAACTTCTAGAGACCGGGGTGGGTGTGTTACGACTATCAGAAGCAGGTTTTAGGGGGAGGGTAATTGACACTGACCTTTCTTATCTTCTCTCCTGCAGCTGTCCTGCCTGTTAGCTGTGGCATACGTGAGCGGTGTGGCCCTGGCTGTGGCGTCGGTGGCTGTAATACACCAGTCTTTGGGGCTGTCCTGCAGCCTGCCACCTGGCCCCCCGGACCTTGGATTGGCTTCCAGGTGCCTCTTGGAACCCTGCATACCTTCTCCTGTGCCACAGTGCCTGCCATCTCCTGCTAATGTCTCCAGCTTCCTGGAAGGCGACGTAGGGCTGCGTTCACTCTGGGGCAGTCTTCTGGCCTCACTGACCCCCCCACCATTGCCTCCCCCAGACCCTCCTGCCCCTCCTACTCTTCTCCATAACTGTCCCTTTTGCCAGAAGCTCCAGAAAGACTCACCAACCTGTCATGCCTGCCACCGTCCCAACCATACGGGGCCCCCAAGCCCCTGGTACCACTCCCATGGCCTGGCTCCACCCTGGCCCTGGAGCCCAATGCCTTCTCTGCTCCCACAGCCCCAGCAGTGTTCCATTTTCAGCATCATGGAGCTGGCCCGCCTCAAGTCTTTCATTTTCCCAGGCTAGGTAGGGTTCTGAGGAATGCATGGAGAGGACTTGGGAGTCCCTGAGAACCTGAGGAGCAATGCTTGATTTAGATCCTCTCTACCTCTCTGGGTCCTTGGCTGGTCCCTTGTTATTCTGGGTGAGGGAGCTTAAGGGGTTTTGGGGCTAAAGGACTGAAGGTCTCTCGCTCTCCTAGACCTCAGTAGCTGGCTGCTTGGCCAGGGCAGTGATGGCGCCAGGGAAAGCTTCAACCAGGGGCAAGGCACAGGTGGATAGAGGAGAAGCCCTTGTCTCTTCACCTCCTCTAGGCTCTGTTAGACTTTAGCTGTTTAGTTCCCTGGGACGGAAGGGAAAAGGTGGGAGATGGGAAATGTGGGCGAGGGAGGGAGGAAATGTTGACCAGGTCTGTGTGATGTCTCTGAGACAAGAGAGCCAGGGATTGATAGGGCCAAGGTGGGAGCTCTGAGGGAAGGCAGGGTGAGGTGGGGAGCCCAATCCGCACCTGCCCCTGGAATGTAGTCTAAAGGAGTTTGGGACGGCTGGGACCTTCGACCTTGCCCTTTTGTCTTCCAACCTTATCATTTAGTACCCTACTCCTGGGCTTCCCTCTCTTCTGGTTCCTCTCCTGGGTGTTCTCTTCACAGGCCTCTCTGGCCGCCGCTTTGTATCTGGGTTTTTCACGCTTTTGTAGAACTGAGGTTTCAATAAACAGTTTCAGTTGCATGGCCTGGACTCTTCCTTCTCTGGCAGCCCTTGGAAGGGCAGACTTCCCCATATCTGCCTTTTAAGCCTCCCTACTTCCCAATCCCATTACCTACAACTCATTCTCTCTGAGCCCCATTTCAGAACTTCCTGTTTGATAGTCATAGGCTTCCATTCCAAACTTCCCTTCATCCCTGCTCCCAGCACCTGGGGTCACTAGCGCTGCCCAACTTGGGTGCCATGGGGCATGGATGGTTACTGTACCATGTTTGGGGTTGGCCATGACTGTTGAAAGTTCTGGGTGAGCACCACCCTTGTAGTTTCTGAATCACATCTTGAGAGAGAAGCCAAGCCACGTATCCAGCAAAGCCCCATCAGCTTCTTGAGGGCAAGCCCCAAGGACACCTATGAATCCTGGCTTCCAATCCAGTCTGTCACGTGGTGGTAGTTGGTGTTAAGAGCAGTCCCAAGCTGGGTTATCATTGGAAGAAGGAAAACCTTTCTGGGCAGCTGGACTGAGGGTATTTGGGACTGCTTATGATGACTCATAGCAGGGGTGTACTGCCTGCCTCCTGGGGGGCATTTTATAAATGTATGAGGCACTTCTTGCTGCAAAAATTTGAAGGTATGCCCCTGGCATTTCGTTGGCCTGGGCAGAATGCTAGATATCCTGAGATGCTCAGGACACCGCTTACTAGGAAGAATTCCCAAGATGACTTTGGAGTGACCGGCTGCACATCCTGCATAGGAAAACCCTGTTCATATTGGACCCTAGAACTATCTAACTTCACATGTAAACACAAAGTCCTTTTTGCACATTTTAAAAAAAGACTCCGTTTTCCAGGAATGCACCTCCTTGCAAATTAAACATTACTTTGCTTTAGCACTTTACCATGAACTTGTTCACTACTTTGGAGCATCAGGTCACCAAGGACAGCACTGCCTATGGTCTGGTCCATGAGTCCACGGGAAAGGACCAGTGTCAGCATTGTGGCTACTGCATCCACAGGGATTCATATGGGGGTGGGGACTGGATCACTTCACTGCCTTCTCTTTTAGTTGGGCCCAAACTTTCACATAATGAAATACCTTTTATCATAAATTATTTTTATTTCTCCTTTATATTACCGTGAGGACATTATATAGGTTGTCATGTATGTCATTCATTACCCATTCATTACCTTTTAAGGTAGTCCAAGGGCTTTGACCCTGAAAGGGTAGAGGACTGTAGTGTAATGATGGTTCTAAATTGCGGTGGAGAGGAGGGAATAGAGTCTAAAATCTTCCCAGGTTATTTTCTAGATCTCCTCACCCCTCTTATCCTGCTTTACAGAGACTGAAACAAGGGATCTAGATGGAGATTCTTGGGGGAGGAATCCAGAACATGGCTCCCAGTTAATGGATGATGGAATTTGCACAAGAACTGGGCAAAGGTGAAAGGGCTGTGTCCTCTCCCAAATCTCTCATTCCTTCGCTCTGCTTCATTGGCACTCCAACCACCTCCCCACTCCAGGCAGCCAAACTCTGACTTCAGCCAAACTCTGACCTCTTACTCTACTTAATTCTGGCTCAGGGCAGTCAACACAAGACGAAAGGCAGGACAGCATGAGCCGATCACACCCCCAAACCATCCAACTCAGATCTGTGGGCTCCCAACAAACCCAGGCTCCCTTGTCTCCACAGCTTGCTGTCCAGAATCCCTCCTCCCACTCTTGGGCGTCTCTAAGTAGGCCTCCTCCCTGGGGCCTCGGCTGTCTTCTGGCTTTGCAGGTAGGAGGCAGATGTGCAGGAGTTGGTGCTGGCTGAAGGGGGTGTTTGGGGAGTAGATGTGGCATTAGAAATTCTCTGGAAATAGGTATTTCTGCCTAGTTCTGAAGACCACCCCTTCCCGTACCTCCACCTGCAGCATATTTTGGTCCTGGCTTCTCTCCTCTGTGCCTCGCACCTGCTTCTGCTTCGAAGTCTCCCCCCAGGAGGACTCTCTTACTCCCCTGCCCACCTCCTGGCCTCCAGCCTCTTTGCATGTGGTGTGTCTACCACCCTGCAAACTTGGATGGGCAGCAGGTAAGGGGGACTCCCTAGAGGGAGAGAGCAGGTCCCGGGGGTGGCTAGGAGAACCTTGGGAAGTCCTTTTGGCTGCAACCTGTTTCCAGACCTGCTGGGGCTGCTGTTCCTACAGGCTGCCTCTTGTCCAGGCTCCATCCTTTGAGTTCCTTGCTCCTGCTCTGGTGTTGACCAACCGGAAGCTGCCTCTGGCCATCCAGCAACCTGGAAACTGTGAGCACCGAGCAAGGCTGAGGGTGGGGTTGGGTGCTAATCTGAGTGTACAGGTGTAGGTAGGTACAGAATTGAGAAAAGGCACCTTGGGGGTCTTGGAGCTGTGCAGGCATCAGCTAGGACTGCACTGCCGTGGGTCTCCATCCCATTTACCTACTCTCCATGCCCCCAACTTTCCAGCCTCCCACCTGCTGCACCCGTGTGAGGGGCCTGGCTGCCATAGCCTGGAGCTCCGGAACACTTCTCTCCAAGAGGTAGTGCCTGGGGCTGGGGAGGCTCTGGTTTCCATTATGCAGGGAGTGAGCTGCTCTGAGAGGAGGGGGTGGGGGTGCTCTGGGGAAGGGACCCACCCTGGAATTAGGAAGTCAAGGCAAGGTCAAATCGGTCAAGCAGAATGTTTTCTCTGTCCTCTCCTCCTCTCCACTAGGTGTCTGGGGCAGTGGTGGTGTCTGGGCTGCTGCAGGGCATGCTGGGACTATTGGGGGCTCCTGGCCACTTGTTCCTTCACTGCGGACCCCTGGTACTGGCCCCCAGCCTGGTTGTGGCAGGGCTCTCTGCCCACAGGGAGGTGGCCCTGTTCTGCTCTGGTCACTGGGGGCTGGCCTTGCTGTACGTAAGTCCTGAGAGGCGTGGGGTGGTGACCAGCGGGGTGTGCAGGACAGGACAGGGGGAGGGCAGAGTTGCTGGCCCTACCAGATTGAGCAGCTATCTGAGCAGGGACAACTTTGTGGATTCATTTGGTTTCCCTAACTTTCACACAGTCTTCCACTGGCCCCCAAAGTGCCGTCCTTCCCTGTCCATGGGGGCTTTCTTCTCTGGGACCCCCTTTTGTGGAATTCTACCACTCCTGCCTCCATTGCCTGCCTCAGGATGCCTGCTTCCTCCTGCTCCTCAAGTTCCTTCTCTCTCCTAGGCTTATCCTGCTCATGGTGGTCTGTTCTCAGCACCTGGGCTCCTGCCAGTTACCTCCATGCCCCTGGAGGCCAGCTTCAACCTCTTCAACTTGCACTCGAATCCCTGCCTTCCGGCTCCTCTCGGTATGTGGGGGTCTGGGCAGGGGCAGTCAAGATTAGAAGGGCCAGCACAGTACACTTGCTCGACCCACCCCCTACTCTCTGGCCTCTGTTACTCCTCTAAGGCTGGCCTGGAAGGATCTGGAGGGGGGAGGGAGGTTCTTTTCCATCTCAGTCTTGCCCCTCAGGTGCTGGTCCCAGTGGCCTGTGTGTGGATCATCTCTGCCCTTCTGGGTCTCAGCGTCATCCCCCTGGAGCTGTCTGCCCCCACTGAGGCACCGTGGTTTTGGCTGCCTCACCCAGGTATGTTTTCTCCTAGTCCTCCATCCTCTTGCTGAAATGAAGGTGTCTCTTTCTTTCAACTCAAGATTTAATGAACTTAATTTCTGAGTTAAATCCTGTGTTTTCTCAAAACACACAGGAGAGAGAAATTGCCATTCTCAGGGGCAATGCTAGCCCCTCACCACAGATGTCTGCAAACCCCAGCACTCTCTACTGATACTCCTTACCCAATTTACACATTTATGTTACCTACCCCACAGGCATTTGAGTTAGTGACCTGTGTAAAAAGATTGCTTTTGAGGCATTGCATCTGAAATCTGCTTATTCATCCATTTAATAAAGGCCTGTTGAGTGTCGATTAAGTGCTAGGTACTTGATAGGGGACATAGTGATAAACATGACATACATATTACCGGTTCTCATGAAACGTATAATCTATTGGGCAATACAGATCCTAATTAAGTAGGCATCCAAGTAATGCAAAATTGCATGTGGCAAGTGTAACAATGGGGAGTACATTGTGTGATGAAAACTTATAATGGGGAGTCTGACTTTATCAGAGAGTCAGGAAAGGTATTCTTGAGGAAGTGATCATTGAGCTGAGATATGAGTAGGAGCTAACTGGGTGAAGGAAGACAGAAGAGCATTCTAGGTGGAGAGAACAGCATATGCAAAAGCCCTGTGGTGGCCAGCAGCACAGCAAAGGATCTTAAACAAGGACAGTGTATCTGGAGTGAGGGAAGTCAGGCAGAGTGTAGTGGGAGATGAGGCTAAAGGGACAGAGGTAAGGTCAGACCCAAGAAGACCTGTAGACCATGGTAAAAGGATGGTTTTTATTCTAAGAGTTTGATGGTTTTCTTCTAAGACATCTTAAAAGGCAATGGGGCCTCTAGGATTCTTGTAGCACAGTCGTTTGGAGGTGGGGGGATGCTCCAGACTTGAGTCTGGCCCCAAAGTCACTCTTTCTCTCTCTTCAGCTGAGTGGGTCTGGCCCTTGCTGACACCCCGGGCTCTGGCTGCAGGCATCTCCATGGCCTTGGCAACCTCCATCAGCTCCCTGGGCTGCTATGCGTTGTGTGGTTGGCTGCTGCATTTGCCTCGTCCACCTCCACATGCCTGCAGTCGAGGGCTGAGCCTGGAGGGCCTGGGAAGTGTGCTGGCTGGGCTGCTAGGGAGCCCATTAGGCACTGCATCCAGTTTCCCCAATGTGGGCACAGTGAGTCTTATCCAGGTATGTGGATGGGATGGGGCGGGGGGGGGGATGGGGGGGCTGTGCTGGAGGTGCAGGAGAGGGAAGGGAACTCACATGACTGACTGACAGCTGTGTGCTATACTCTGTTAGGCACTTCACATCAGTGTTCTCATTTAGGGAGGTGCCTAGAAGTGGTAAGGGGCTAGGAGTGTAAGGAAGACACCAAATCAACATTGAACTTCTTCTATGCCTCGGGCACTGTATCAGGGCTGGGGTTCCAGTGAAGAATGAGTCAAAGTCCCTGCTCTCTTGGGGACTTCAGAGAGGGAGAGGCAGACAATTTGAGAAACACACACACACACACACACACACACACACACACACACACACACCAAAACATAAATAAGGTAATTTCCCGAAAACAAAGCAGGTAGTAGAGTGCTTGGGGATGCTCCGTGGAAGGGTAACATTTGAGTTGGGATCCAAATGGTGAGAAGAGGCCACCAGGCAAACACCTTGAATAGTCAAAGAGGTGGCTGTGTTTTCTAACGTCTCTTCTTCATGTAGGCTGGATCTCAGCGAGTGGCCCACTTGGTGGGGCTGCTCTGTGTGGGGCTTGGGCTCTCCCCGAGGCTGGCCCACCTCCTCACCACCATCCCGCTGCCTGTTCTTGGTGAGTGAATGTATCAGCAGAACTGGTATTGACCTAGTATCCCCCCTAGTATCCCCCTAGTATTGACCTAGTGGCCCAACTGGTTGCTGTGGCTGGCACCCTTTTTTTCTGAATAGTCTCCCTGATACATGGATATGTATGTCAGCTGCCTTCATTTTCTCAGCCCAGCAGAAGCCCTTGATTTGCTTCTGGCAGAATCAGAAACCGCCTTTTGGTCATCTCTCTCCGTCACAATCTGCCCCACCCTGCAATACTCCCTGCTATGCCAGCCCTCTCTCAGCTCCTTTGATGACTTTCCTGAGACAGGTGGAGTGCTGGGCGTGACCCAGGCTGTGGTTGTGTCTACTGGATTCTCCAACTTCCACCTGGCTGACATTGACTCTGGGCGGAATGTTTTCATTGTTGGCTTCTCCATCTTCATGGCCCTGCTGCTGCCAAGATGGCTTCGGGAAGCTCCGGTCCTGCTAAGCACAGGTGGGAGGGAGGGGGGAAGAGTTGCTCAGTATCGGGAAGCCAGGGCTTGAGGCTTGAGGCTCTCTGAATTGCACCCTTTTCTGGTCTTTCGTATAAACAGTTCATCCATTTGTTTAGCAAATATTTATTGAGCACCATGCAAGTTCCTTGGAATACAAAGGTGCCTCCAGATGTTACAGTCTAGTAAGAGAAATTAGATGTGTAGGCACATAACAGGAAAGGTTCAGATAAAGAGCTGTGCTGCTCAGTGGTGAAGAGATGGATGACTTATGGATTGAGATGATCCAGGTAAGTTTTATGGAGAAAGTAATGTTGAGCTGGTCTTGCAGGATGCTAAGATTTAAGCACATTTGGTGAGAAGGTCATTCCTGGTGGAGGAACCATCATAAAGACGTAGAAGGAGGAAGTCATAGGGGATGTCCTGAGAGCAGCAAATAGCTTAGTGTTTTAGTTCAGCTTAGCAAGCAGCAGTGGTTCTCAATTGAGAATGATTTTGACAATGTCTGAAGACATTTTTGGCTGTTACAAAAAGGGGATGGGGAATTGTTACAGGCATGTAGTGGGTAGAGCCATGCTGCTTAGTATCCTACAGTGCACAAGACAGCCCCCCTCAAAGAATTATCTGGTCTAAATGATTAGTAGTACTGAGGTTGAAAAACCCAGGCTAGAGCATAGAAGGTAAGTGGGAAATAAGGTTGGGGATTTTAATACAAAACTTTCCAGAGCCTGGAACAATCAAAGCATATCTGGAGGGCATGTGGATGCTCAGGAGATAGGGTGTTGAGCAGGGATCCTGTGAGAAGGGCCAGGGTGGAGAGGGACAAAGGACGAAGGGGATGGAACTACGATTCAGAAAGATCTGTCCTTAGTCCAAGACTTAGATTTAAGTCTGGAAGTATGAGACTCATTGGCCTTGCATAGTATCAGGGTTCCCCTCCTGCCTGGTCCCAATCCTATAGGCTGGAGCCCCTTGGATGTGTTACTTCACTCGCTGCTTGCAGAGCACATCTTCCTGGCGGGCCTTTTGGGTTTCCTCCTAGAGAACACCATTCCTGGTAAGTTGAGGTAAGGCCCTAGACTGGGAATGGCCAGGAAGCCATCACTCCCTGGGTTGGGCAATGGACTGACCGACTTCTGTTTTGCAGGCACACGGCTTGAACGAGGCCTAGGTCAAGGACTACCATCCCCTTTCACTGCCCAAGAGGCTCGGATGCCTCAGAACTCCAGGGAGAAGGCTGCTCAAGAGTATGAGCTTCCTCTTCCCCTCCAAAACTTGTGTCCCTGCATCCCCCAGCCGGCCCATTGCCTCTGCCCATTGCCTGAAGACCCTGGGAATGAGGAAGGAGGGCCTGCTGAGCCAGGAGAGACAGCCGACTTGCTGCCTGGTTTTGGGGAGCAGTACCCCCGGTCTAGCAGAGAACGTAGGCCCCATTAATTCCAGGATTCATACTTCCGCTCTGGTTAGATTGCTCTATCTCCCAGCTTGCTGGAGAGTCAGCTCCCAGGTTCTACTTTCTCTTAGGGAGTGTGTGTGTCTGTGTGTGTGTAAAATAGGTCTACTCAAGGGTCTTATTTCCCAATGGGTATGTTGCCTTTCCTTCTCTTAATTAAGTCCAACTGTTTCAGAGCAGAGGACATGAATGAATAAACGAGATTTTGCCTGTAAACTATCTATACTTGTACTCTGGCATTCACTTAAGTATTTATTGAGCGCTTCCCGTGTGCAAGGCCCTGGAACTACAGGTATGGATAGGACAGGGTTCCTGCCCTAGCTGGTTTGGCTCAGTGGATAGAGCATTGGCCTGTGGACTGAAGGGTCCTGGGTTTGATACTGGTCAAGGGCACATGCTCGGGTTGCAGGCTTGTAGGAGGCAGCCAACTGGTGATTCTTTCCCATCATGTTTCTTTCTCCCTCTCTGAAATCAATACAAATATATTTTAAAAAACCACTTATGGTTTTAAAAGACTTATTTAATTACTAACTAAAATCCAAAGCAGAAGGCAGTCTGTATCGAAGATTAAAACAATGCTATGGGAGCAAAGAGGAAAAAGCAATTAATTCTGACTTGGGTAGTGGGAAAGGCTTTATTGAAAGCAGCAGCTCTGAGGCTGGCCTTAGCAAGAGGAAGATTTGGGGTTGTGGAAAATGCACCAGAACAATTTTCCAGCTCAGGTATCCAGCTCAAGAAAAACCATAAGTTGTACGAAGTACAAGATGATTTGAGGGATTTCAAGCTTCTCAGTGGTGATGAAGCCTAATTATGGCAATGTGGGGGAGGCAGGGGAAGTGACATTTATTGACAAGTCCAAATACAGGACTCCTCTCCTGCACCTCACAGGGCATTAAAAAAACAAAACAAACAAACAAAAAAACAATAAGAGAGACTCATTGATCGGCTGCCACCTGCACACCCCTTAATGGGGATTGAGTCTGCAACCCCCGCATGTGGGCATGTGCCCTGACCAGAATCCAACGGTGACCTCTTGGTTCATAGGTGGATGCTCAACCCCTGAGCGGGCCCACCCGACATTCTTTCTTTCCACGGGGCCAGCCCCGCTCCCCCTCCACCTCTCCACCAGCGGGCCGCCAGCCTCTCCCCCTGGCCAAGGTGGACCTCCAGGTCTGAGCGCTCCTCCAATCAGCTCCGTGGGCCCAGATGCCCCGCCCATGCCGGCCCGGGCTCCGCCCTGTGTCCCTAAGGCCCCGCCTCCCGTGGGGGGTGGGGAATGGCTCTAGTCTAGGCCTTTCGGTTTGCGTGGGCGGCAGGCCTGCCGCGGGGAGGGTGGGAGCTGTTGCAGCCGCTCACGGTAGGTGGGGTCGGGCTCGAATCGGGACCAGAGCCGGGCCGAGCGGCGCGGGGCTGCTCCGACCCTGCGCGGTGCCGCGCCCACGGGCGCTTTGTCCCAGGAGGGACCCGCGCGCGGCCCACGTTCCAGGGCCGACCTCCCGGGGTGGGCGGGGCCTCGGGGGCCGCGCGCGCACAGCCCGCCTCCCGGCCGCGAGGCGGGGTCGGCGAGGCTACTCCTCGGCGGGCTGCTTTGTGCGAGAAAAGCAGCGGGTGGTTGGCTTTGTTACCCCTGAGGGGTCCCGAGCCGCGCCCCAGTGCAGCCGAAGCTGTAGAAATGCTGAGGCGGACGGCGAAGGCCCGTCTGGCGAGGGCGCCGGGCGCGGCTCCTGGGCTGGGGCTGTAGTCGCGGGAGCGAGGGTTCGTCCCTCCCGCGGGGCGGGGCGTGGCCCAGCCCAAGGGTCGCCGGGGCCTTGCTGCCATCTGCTGGTTGGCGAGGGAACTGCGCCGAACTGCAGGCCGAGGGGCGGGGCTTGGCGCAGACCCGCGTTCCCCGGTGACCTCACCTTGCTGTTGGACCTGGGCGTACCCCTACTTCCTTCAAGAATAATAAACGGGTTTGCCGGGTGGCTCAGTGGTTGAGCTTGGACCTATGAACCAGGAGGTCACGTTGGATTCTGATCAGGGCACATGCCCAGGTTGCTACTGGATCTCCAGTTGGGGGGCGTGCAGGAGACAGCTGATTAATGATTCTTTATCATTGATGTTTATCTCTCCCTCTCCCTTCCTCTTTGAAATCAATAAAAATATATTAAAAAATAATAAACGGGAAAATATGGTTAACGTGAGGGTGAAAGGAGATCTTGAAGAATAAAAGAAAAAGGTGGGATAGAGAGCCTCAGACTCAACAGGACGTGGGTGGCGCTAAATATCTGACCTTTTTATGTGGCTTGTAGACCCTGGCCACACTTTAAACTCCTCCCCTACCTCGAAAACAAAAAAACAACACAAAACCCCCACATCCCTACAGTTTGATGTTCCTGAGCTTCCAGGCTTTCTGAAGTGATCGGCCAGGATAACCCAATTTTGGTGAATCAGACAGTACACTCGAGGTAGTGCCACTAAGGGAGAGAAGGGTTTGGCGACTTCACTGTGTCTGCGGCCTTGTCAATGAGTTCTGGTGCAGTGAGGATTAGCTTAATCACGGTAGGAAATGTGACTGATGTACCATTCAACAAAAAAAATTTTGAGGCTGCTGCAAATGGAAGTCACAATATTTCACTTGTCTACCCACTGTACAGATTAAATTATGTTACAAGGCTGTGTTTAAAAAACTAGGTTATGGTTGGAAGAATAATGGCTTAGACTGAGATGGAAATGCCTGGAACAAACCATGTTAACTTTGTTAATGAAACCCAAGGAATTTTCTTTATATTCTGAGATGCACCCCCCTCCCCCACTTCACTTTGTATTTATGTACTGAAATAATAAAGGAAATTATAACACTCCCCCCCTTTTTTAACCCACAAGAAAAAGAAAACTTCTTGTCAAGTAGCCACAGTTACTGAATATCTACTAGGTTAAGGCTACAGATTGAGTTGTTGAAGTAGAAAAGTTGCTTTGCAGTTCTAGGATGGGCAGGAGGGCACGGTATCATCGATGGCAGTGCCTTAGGGTGGGGATGTGGGGGATGAGTGAAGTGGGCGTTCATCATCTCTACCTCTGTGATGTACTCTGCCTTGTATTTATGACTTCTTAGTCTTTCAGGTTCTTCTTGAATTGGGGTTTGGGCTTTCCTGTTTGCTCTGGACCCAGTGTTTATTAGCTTCTGATTTGTGTGTCATTGATCCCTTTGAGAATTTGTCCATAGCCGTGGACTTCTTCTCCCCAAATGAATATATGCATGTATGCACAAATTTTGCATGCAATTCCAGAGGACTCATATACATAGATTCTAGATTAAGAATCTGTCTTAGGGAATATATATTTATATTATTATATATATAATCATTTATTATATTTGTCATTATATTATATATATTTTTAGAATATGTATTTCTGTTCAGTGAAAAAAAAGTATATATATATTCTGAGAGCTTCCAGAGTTTTGTTTTTAGATAATGATCAAATAATTTGAATTTTCTCTGATGACACTTATGATTTATGATGTTTTCTGAGACAAGAACTATTTCTTCTCTTCTAGAAGTTCTGGGAAAAGATAACATTGACATATTTCTTAGGAATGTGATAAATATGCAACAAGAATGGTTTAGGTTTCCACATTAAGTTATATTATTAGAAATCAAAAATACTAATACCAATATGTTGAGGCTTAAACACTATAGTAGAAAGAGATATTTTATGCCCTCTAGGAACTTAATATGGAAAAAATATTCCTCAAAATTCTAAATAGATTTTTAGTGGCAAAGAGTTACTAAGATTGGTGCTCAGTTGATTATATACTGAGGTTGGGGAGATGGGGGTGATGAGTGGGGTAGAATATAAACCCATGTTTTCTGTTTTATTAGGGAGGAATTTCATGAGACTTATTTGATGTTGAACTGTCTGCTGGTCTTCCCTGCCCCCAGGCCTGTAATACCCTGGGACACTGCTAATTAAGACTTTCCTGCAGATGGAAGAACTGGAGCAAGGCCTACTGATGCAGCCATGGGCCTGGCTACAGCTTGCCGAAAACTCCCTCTTGGCTAAGGCTTATATCACCAAGCAGGGCTATGCCTTGCTGGTTTCAGATCTTCAAGAGGTGTGGCATGAACAGGTGGATGCCAGTGTGGTCAGCCAGCGAGCCAAGGTAAGTGTGAAGAGAAGTACTGCTGTGGTAATGGGTATAATTTATTTCCTACTGATGGCCAGGGGACATTAACATCAACCAGCTTGCTAGCCTTTCAGTTGTCAAGGAAGGTTGAGTCAGGTTGAGATAATTCCAATTAATATCCTGCACTTCTACCGATAGCCCTGGGATCTTCCCACATGGTCTCTGTATTAGTTTATGTACTACATACAGTACAAGGCAGAATTGTGAAGTAGGCCAGTTGGTCTCTCTTCTCATGCCTCTGTCTTCATGTTAACTAGAGTTTTCCTTTGCAGTTACTTATGAAGGAGTCAGTTTCCTCTTAGCACCCTCACCCTGTACAACTCCCGCTACCTTTTTAGGAGCTGAACAAGCGCCTGACTGCCCCCCCTGAGGCTTTTCTCTGTCATTTGGATGAGCTGCTTCGCCCACTGTTGAAGGACATTGTTTGCCCTGGGAAAGCTACCTTCTCCTGTGAACGTGTGGCGGAGGCACTGATACTACAGGTGCGGAGTGAGCTCTCTGGTCTCCCCTTCTATTGGACTTTCCACTGCATCCTGGCTAGCCCTTCCTTGGTAAGTGAAATTCAAATATGGGTAGGGGAGGGGACTGCTAGCTGCTTTTTTGAATGATTTTAATTGAATTTCTTGTGACATTTTCCGTTCTGTTTTATATGCAGAATTTACCTATTTTGTTTAAAACTCCTGTAACTTTTTCTAAGTAACACCAGGGGGCACTGTTCCCTCAATAATGCTTGTTCTGGGACCAAAACATTTGAGAAGCCCAAATGATGGTTAATCTCATTTTGCACTACACAGCCCTAGAAACTCAGAATAGTGAGACTGGGGAGGCAGTTCTCCTTGGAGGCTGATGAACTCTAACAGTTTTTTCTTTCAAAAGAATACTGATATTACAATTGAAAATATGTAAAGAAAAAACTATTCTAGGCCAGCTCCTCTAATTGGGGAGCTTCATTAAGAGGCAACAGTTTTCAGAGTGAGATGAGTCTTGGTTGGCTGTGGGAGGAGTGAGTATTGAACAATTGATTAGTGATTATGTTTTAATGTAAAATAAAATAATTATTTTTGCAAGAAGAAGAATGCCATCCCAGGGAAATCCCAGGACCTGAGGAAGCTTTATAGGGAAAAAGTTAGAGCCAGTGGACACTGGCAAGGACGTAGGTGGATACTATTTCAAGTTCATGTGTGTGTCTGTGAGGTCACACAGTCATAATTTTTGTTTGTTACTCATCCTTGTGATAGCTTTTAAATTTTTTTGAATGAGTAATTCATGAAAAGACAGACATTTCAGACATTTAAGGGTATACAGTGGGAAAAAAAATAGGTTTTCTTTCTACGCCCTTTCCCAGTCTCTCATTTTCCTTCTCTAAAGGAACTACTGATATCAGCTTCTTGTGAATTCTTTTTTAAAAAAATATATATCTTTATTGATTTCAGAGAGGAAGAGATAGAAACATGATGAGAGAATCATTGATTGGTTGCCTCATGCACACCCCCCACTGGGGATCAAGCCCACAACCTGGGCATGTGCCCCTGGCCGGAATCGAACCTGGGACCCTTCAGTCTGTAGGCCGACGCTCTGTCCACTGAGCCAAACCAGCTAGGGCTCTTGTGAATTCTTAAAGAAAGCTCTATATAGGTACATGTATGTATGTATATGTACACACAATCAAATATTATCTGGGTATATGTATGTGTTTTCACAAATGACAGCATGCTATTTACACGGTTCAGTACCTTGCTTTTTTCACTTAATTGTGTAGAACTTAGAAATCACTCATCACAACACATTTAGTCAGGCAGGGTATTATAGGCCTGGAGTCAGGAAAGTAGGAGAGTACCTGTTTCCTCTCTACGACATAGTGTATTCACATTAATAATTTAATAGTTCTTAGGTCGCTGCAGGATATTATGGAATATATAAAGCTTCAGGTCTCTGTTTTCCAACTCTGAGCCCATTTCCACTTCTGGCCAACTTCTCTTATCTTCTCCTCCTTTCCACTCTGTATTCTTTCTAGTATTTAATGTAATTCTTTTTGTTGTTTATAGGTATTTTTCTAATGTAATTCTTGGTATTCCATATTTTGACTTTCAAATTTGTCACCTCTTTGGCCATTTTATAATTCCTAGGACTCAGATGCAAAGGTTTTTTGTTTTTTTTTTTGGTGTGTGTGTGTTAGAAAGAACAAAGACCTCAGGCTTTGGAACCAGCAGACCTGAATTTGTAACTCAGCTCTGCCACTTTCATTACTTACATGATCTAGGATAAGTTACTGAATTTTTATGAGTCTCGGTTTCTGTATTTGTAAAGTGGAGATACCAATCACAACCTTACTATAGAGTTATGAGGATTAAATAAGAGGACATATGGAATATTACTTATCCTTAGCATTATAGTGGACCCGTGAGGGCAAACACTCCAACTTCATAATTTTTCTTTTTTAGAAAGGATTGAGACCATGAGAGTACTTGGGGTTAAGCCATTTTTACATCTAGGTAATCCCAGAGCCAGAACTAGAACCGAGGTCTCCTAATTCCAAGTCTGTAACCCTTTTCACTATATCCAAACCTGATACGATTCATCTTGAGATTGATAACTGCCATTCAGCTCTCCTGCCTATGACTTGTGAACATTTCTATGAGAAATCTGAAGACACTGGGAAATTATAAACAGCTTTCCCTCTGGAGAAGATTGCCAACTCCTGCTTCTGTATCCACACACTTCCTGACCTCCTTAACTCTTGCGCTCTTTGAGGGCATAGGCCTTGTGGGGTCAGAGCACATATTAGGCACACAGTAGGTATTTGTTGCACTAACTTGTTGAACTGCATCTCTTCCTGTATTGCTGTCTGTAAATGAAGGGGGTGGGGTGGGTGTGCCCCTGCCCTCCAAAAGCATTTCAAGATTTTTCCTTGTAGTGTCTGTGGATTTGCTTTGAAATCCATTCCTTCAGCCGCAATGCCTTGTTCTGATTAACTGATCTAAGTTAGTGTTCATCTAACTTTGAAGTGAGTTATACCCCAATGATTCAGAGTGATGTAACTCAAGCCTATGAAATATTTTAGAAGTTAAAATATTTACTGATAAAAAGCTGCCCCCCTCCCCCCTTTGCTATATAGACCCTGGAGTCCAATAGATCATTTTAGTTGCCTGGTACAGCATTACCATGTTTAATTAGACATGGAAATTATTAAAACCTGTTTCTCATCATGTTTCATGTTGTTATCCTTATTAATACTTAAAGAAATGGCTATTAAGGTGGAAGGAGGCTGGTTAATTAACTTTAGGAGTTTCTGTTATTTGAAGGCTGTCACCAAATGGCTGGTGGTGCTGCTTGTGCAATTACTTTCTATTAAATATATTTTTGTTGATTTTTAGAGAGATGGAAACATTGATGAGAGAGAAACATTGATCTGCTGCCTCCTGCTCGACTGGGGATCGAGCCGGCAACCAGGCATGTGCCCTGACCTCTTGGTTCATGGATTGACGCTCAACTGCTGAGCCACACTGGCTGGGTAGCAAGTGCAACCCACCAAATATTGACTTGCTTTCATACAACTGTTCACCTGTTTTTCTTCCTGATCTATCTTGAACAGAACCAAAGTTACCAAAAACAATTCCTAGGAGAGAGGGTTGGGTCTAGTGCAGATAAATTTTCCCAAAGCATAACTGCCACATTCTGAACAGTACTTCCTAGAAGCTTAAGTTTACACCAAGGATCTGAGCTGGCAGACAGCACCAGTTGGGATGTACTGTGTGATGGAAAGAAGTGACTAGTATCTATAACTGGACTCAATTTCTGGCCTTCCACTTTGTGCCAGTGCCCCAGCATTTCTTGGGTCACGATGCTAGTACAAAAGCTGCTGGCACTAACCCCTAACACCTAACACTCCCCCTCTCCCCTCCGCCCCCAATGAGAGAAATGTGGAAAAAGTCCTCTTCTCTCCGGTTGAGCCACAATACAATTGGAGTTTTTAGGAGGAAGTTTTACTAGAAAATTAATGGAAGACAAAAACACAAAAATCTGCAGAGTTCAGACTTCTCATCCTGACTGAATAAGTCTGGCTTGCACATCTTTAATTTTTTAAATATATTTTTATTGATTTCAGAGAGGAAGGGAGAGGGAGAGAGAGATAGAAACATTAATGATGAGAGAGAATCATTGATCAGCTGCCTCCTGCACACCCACTACTAGGGATTGAGACCACAACCCAGGCATGTGCCCTTCACCAGAATTGAACCTGGGATCCTTCAGTCTGCAGGCTGACGCTCTATCCACTGAGCAAAACCAGCTAGGGCATGGCTTGCACATCTTATAGGACACTCCCGGACCGTTTCCTCACTTCAAGCCTGTGTAGGGTATCTTGTTTAAAAGTTCTCTGTTTTAGATTGAGGGCTGGGGTTGGTACACTATGGCCAGCAGGCCAACTCTGGCTTGCTGCCTATTTTTGTAAAATTTTGTTGGAACCCAGCCACCCTCATTTATTACATGTTGTCTGTGGCTCCTTTCATGCTACCAAAGCAGAGTTGAATATTGCGACAGGGACTTATGGGCCGCAGAACCGAAAATATTGCCTCTCTGGCCCTTACAGAAAATGTTTGCTGACCTCTGGTCTAGGGCATTTCTGAGTGCCTCCTTCAGCTCATCTCCTTGGGGGAAGGGAAAGAAACTCTGATAACATCCTCGAGCCACAAATAGATTATTGATTTTAGTTATTTTCTTTGGCTGAGGCTTTCATCTTTCAAAGGCTAATGGACACTTTGCATAGGCGAATTAAATGATAATTTTGTATTGCTGTACATTATCACATGAGAACATCATCCTAGCTGCGCTGCAGTATGGCTATACTTGTGACCTTCTTACCTCTTATTAAGACCAAGGTGTGTTGGTGGTTTATTTCCTCTTAGGCTGGTCTCTTAGTGACTGTCTTGCTTCTATTACAACAATGGCTTTAGACTTTGTGGCATTGGTGGAAACAGATTGAAACTCTGGGCTCATTCTGGGCTGTCATCAGCCCTGAAATGGCTCTTCACTAGTGTCTGGATCAAATTTGACTTTGAAGTCTCTCTACTTTCTGTGATTTTTGTCTCCTTTTATACTCCAGCTAGCATACTCTGTTGTAGCCACAATTAATTTCTTGAAGGTTAGCTGGCTCTTCTGCTTTTGTGCCTCAGTCTCTGCTAAAAATTGAGTTAGCACTTCCTTCTTATCAGCTGTACCATATCCTTCTCTTGAAATCACACTTTCTAGGTTGCTATTCATGAGTATTCTTTTAAAAAAATGTTTTTGTAGATTTTTAGAGAGAGAGGTAGTGAGAGGGATATATAGAAAGAAACATCAATTAGCTGCCTCCCTACTGGGGATCGAGCCCGCAACCCAGTCATGTGCCCTGATGGGGAATCGAACCAGGGACCTCTTGGTTCATGGGTCGATGCTCAACCACTGAGCAACACCAGCCAGGCCATGAGTATTCTTTATTCTTCCCATCTTTTTGTCTGTGACCCAAAGAAAATCCTTGAACTTCTTTAATATACTTACTTAATTATTATATTTGTGTTTACATTCATGTAAATGGATTGCTTGCCTATGACCCTATAAGTTCCTGTGAAAACATTTATTCTTCAGTATTTTTTTCTAATTCCTAATGCAGTATTAGGGAGTATTTTATAAGTATCTGTTGGCTAATTGCTATCTCTTCCATGAAAGGTCTCCCAACATTTGATTCGTCCTCTGATGGGCATGAGTCTGGCATTGCAGTGCCAAGTGAAGGAGCTGGCAACATTGCTTTGTATGAAAGATCTAGAGATCCAGGACTACCAGGAGAGCGGGGCTACATTGAGCCGAGGTGAGAGGACATTCTTTGAGATATTGAGTGGGAAATGGTACAGATAATCAAAGGTGCCTCCAAAAAGGGGGAGACTTTATTTGCATTAGAGAGGGCTTCCCCGAGGGTGGGTGCTAGGTTCTGACCAAAACTGGAGACTTGATGCTTGGTGACACCTCTCTCTGCCTGGAACACCTGGCTGGCACCCAACTGGCCAATAGAAGCTGTGACTGAGTACAGACATGCCCTAGGCAGTGGCAAGGAAAGACTTTGGATAGGGGCCAGCAGCTATACAAAATTGTACGAGGGCAACATGAACTTGGGACTTTAGGAAGTTGCATAGCTCCAACTTCAGAGTAAAAATTCAGTTTGACCTTTGTCTTTATGTTGGGAAAAACTCCTGGAGCACATGCTGCCACCGAACTTGTTGTTTGTTGCTAATCACCCTCTCCTCCTCCTGTTTGCCCACACACTCTCATCCCTTCTCCCACTGGACTAGGTGAGTCTGGGTATCGCATCTTTGTGCTCTTTCCCAAGAAGAAGTTTTGGACTCTGTTTCCTTTCCATCTCACAGGTAGGAAGCTTGTCCTAAGACTCACATTTCTTTTCTGTATCCCTTCTTATTACAGACCGGTTGAAGACAGAACCATTTGAAGAAAATTCTTTCTTGGAACAATTTATGGTAGAGGTAGAGTATTTGTTATTTCCATTGTCCTGTGCAACTTGGCTTTACTTCCTTTTTCCAGGTGCCCGAGTGGTGACTTGCGTTTGGGTGTTAGGTTGCTTGCATGGTTGGAAAGCCCTTTCTCTGAAAAAGTTGCCTATAGAAAGTCTGATAAAGCTTGAGATGTACATGGGGAAGATGGGGAAAGAAGAGGTAAGAATGTAAAAGGCAAAGTGGGCTGATTTACATTCATAAAACATCTCTGTTAAAGTACCTAGGTATTTCATTTGGAATTTTCTAACCTTGGAAAGCTTGGTTGCCCAGTTGCTAAATCTTTGCTTGTTGAGATCTGATCGCAAGTCTGGACTGTGGATCGGTAGCGGGAGAGGGGTAGTTATTATTACTTGTCGAGGCCCCTTTAACATCTCGCAGTAGAGGAAGGTGGAAAGCATAGGGCTACCATTTGGGGACTGTCTTGTGGGCACAGTAGGCTGTGGAAAATCACAGTGTTTATACAAGGGGACTGGCAAAGGAATGAATGGGGAGTAGATAATTGTGGCCTGTCAGAAGCTCCTGCCTAGGTTTCCCTTCTAAGGATTGAGCTTGGCCAAAAGAAACATCTGTTAAATGCCAAACAGGGGGAGTATTATTAATAGTGACCTTTGATAATCCCAGTCAATATTGATCTTCTCTTTCTCTAACTCTTTTGGGACTTGTTGGTTGTACAGTTAGTACCTTAGTATTATTGCCTTGTTTTCTAATTGTATATGTTACTCAAGTTGGTACTTTCTTATGTAAGTAAATAATGCTACTATAATACTATGTTATATGTAATTTATTCATATTTCTATCTTGTCTTCTAAGTGAATTTGTAAACTCCTTGTGGGTAGGGGCTGTCACTCAAACGTCTTTTGAACCCCAAATTAGTGCTTTTCACAGAGCTAAGCATAAAGCAGGTGTTCTTAAGGTGGGACTTTCTGTTCTGCCTCTGTGTATTGACTGAGCAATGACTCCATAATGCTTGGGGTCTTAAACTAAGGACAAAAAAATGCGAGTGGAGTGCTAAGTCCATCTATTGAAGCAATTGTAACTCTGGAGAAGGAAAGCATATATTGTTAAGTCCTGAAGCAGAAAAAGTTTTAAGTCTTTTTTTTTTTTTTAATTTTTTTAATTTTTTTTATTTTTTATTTTTTTATTTTTCGCTAAAAGTATTACAAAGGGTATTACATAAGTGTCCTTTTTTCCCCCCCGCCCTTGACAAGCCCCTGCCCTCCCTTACCCCCCCAGTGTCTTATGTCCATTAGTTATGGTTATATGGATGCATATAAGTCCTTCGGTTGATCTCTTACTCCCCTCCCTCCTGTCCCCCAACCCTCCCTGGCCTTCCCACTGCAGTCCGACAATCAGTTTGAGGCAGCTCTGCCACTGTATTTATTATTGTTCAAAAGTTTGTAATGGTCTTAATTATCCATGAAAGAGTGAGATCATGTGGTATTTTTCCTTCATTGACTGGCTTGTTTCACTTAGCATAATGCTCTCCAGTTCCATCCATGCTGTTGCAAATGGTAAGAGTTCCTTCTTTTTAACAGCAGCATAGTATTCCATCGTGTAGATGTACCACAGTTTTCTAATCCATTCATCTACTGATGGGCACTTAGGCTGTTTCCAGATCTTAGCTATGGTGAATTGTGCTGCTATGAACATCTGGGTGCATATATCCTTTCTGATTGGTGTTTCTGGTTTCTTGGGATATATTCCTAGAAGTGGGATCACAGGGTCAAATGGGAGTTCCATTTCCAATTTTTTGAGGAACCTCCATACTGCCTTCCATAGTGGCTGCACCAGTCTGCATTCCCACCAGCAGTGCACAAGTGAGTTTTAAGTCTTTATGGGGAAAGAGAGACCATTAAACCTAGACTTATAGTAGAGAGAGACTTCCTAGGCCCATTTTCTGTCAGTTAGCTTCCCTTGTCTATAAGTTTGGGGATAAGGTTAACATAGGCTGGAGATGACATGGTTTGTACATCAGCCCTTTAGTTAAACAATGCAAAGCTTACTCTTAGCTCAGCAGAGGGGTCCCTTCCTGATCTAGTGCCTACAACACTGTCCAGCTTAGTTTCTTGACATTTTTCTTTATGTACTTTACGCTTCAGCCATATAGAATAACTTTCAATCACCAAAGGTGCTTTTTCTCTAACTTTATATCCTTGTACACATTGTTCCCTTTGTCTGAATGCCCAATGCCCTGGACTTAACTACCTTGTAAACTTCTATTAATTTTTTAAGTGTCAGCTTCAGCCTCTTTAGGAGACCTTTCAGGACTCTCCTTTTATTTATTTATTTAAATATATTTTTATTGATTTCAAAGAGGGAGAGAGAGATAGAAACATCAATGATGAGAGAGAATAATTGATCGGCTGTCCCCTATTGGGGATCGAGTCTGCAACCTGGGCATGTGCCCATGACCCGAATTAAACCTGGGACCCTTCAGTCCGCAGGCCAACACTGTATCCACTGAGCCAAACCAGCTAGGGTTAGGACTCTCCTTTTAAAGATAATACTTCATCCCTGCTACTGAGGTACATTGGAAAAATTGGAGGCTCATCTTTTCCATGCTGTTGGGGTGGGTAGAAACCTACAGACCTGAATGTGAAAGCATATAGAACCCTGGCTGGGAGACTTGGTGAGTTAGTGTCATCCCATCACCAAAAGGTTGTGGGTTCGATTGCCAGTCAGGGAACATACCTAGGTTTCAGGTTTGATTCCCTGGTCAGAGCACATACGGGAGGCAACTGATTAAAGTTTCCCTCTCTCTCTCTCTCTCTCTCTCTCTCTCTCAAAATCAATTTGAAAAAACAAAACAAATAAAAAACCCCCACACATATCCTCGAGTGAGAATAACACACACACACACACACACACACACGCACATGCACATGCACATGCACATGCACACATGCACACAAACCACAAAAGAAAGCATATAGAATCCAGGTGCTAGTCCAGGAAGGATCTTAGTGTTTTTGAACCAACCACTTCAAGAATACTGGTCCTTTAGGCTCTGGGTGGATATCATCCAAACCTCATAGACTTGTAGAATTTTATTATATCTGCAAAGGATCTGAGAGACAGGTAGCTGTAGCTTTCCATTTCATAGATAAAGAAATTGAGCTTCTGACAGTGGATAGAGCATCAGCCTATGGACTGAAGGGTCCTGCGTTCGATTCCGGTCAAGGGCACATGCCCGGGTTGAGGGCTCAATCCTCAGCAGGGGGTGTGCAGGGGGCAGCCAATCAATGATTCTTTCTCATCACTGATGTTTCTATCTATCTTTCCCCCTCTTCTTCCTCTCTGAAATCAATAAAATATATTTTTTAAAAAAGAAAAAGAAATAGAGCCTCTGAGAGGTTAAGTGCCTTGCCTAAGGACATAAAACTATAGCTGTATGTTTGGGACCGCCTACATTTATTGTCTAGGATTACCCCTATTTTGTTTTGCTACTTTGGTTGTACATACCAATTAGAGGAGAGTTAAGGCCTAGGATAATGTGGAATTCTTGTGACCTCTGGGATCACTGAATGTCCTGCATCACTGCTAGAACTGAAAGGTTTCCTAATGGGACTGCAGAATCTCTGATGGCCGCTGCATCTTTTCAGTTACTCTGCTTGCCTGGGGTCCTACAAACAGGACACAGAAGGGTCAAGGGGTCATTCAAGACTGAGCTAAAAGGATGTGCCATCAAAATAAGCAACATAGGAAGATAAACAAACCAGGGACAGAGAGCTCGGGATGAAGGTGCAGGGGGGCCAGGACTGATGTCAGAGGGCCATGCGGTCAGTGCCTGGGGTCTGTTTTCCCTAGTTCTTGTTGGGACTATTGCTGAAGAGGCCATAGAGATAGGGCAAGGGGCAGTAGGACAGAGGTTTCTAGGATACTAAGACCAGGACAAATATTTAAGGATTGAACAGGGGTTATTTCTCCATATTTAGTCCTTTTTTTTCCTTTCCCCCCAAGAGCCTCTGATCTCTCATTTCTCATTTCCAAGGGGGCCAGGTGATGGTGGCCTAACTAGAGGGGAAATACTGGCAATGTTGATACAAGTCACCTGGGTGGAGTGGCTGTTGGCTTGATTCTAAGAGAGGGCAAGAGCCCTTTATAGAGCATTTCCTAGGACTAGGGGTTGAAGTCACCTTTAGCCCTAGCCGGCATGGCTCAGTGGATAGAGCGTCAGTCTGCGGACTGAAGGGTCCCAGATTCGATTCTGGCCTAGCGCATATGCCTGGGTTGTGGGCTCGATCCCCAATAGGGGGCGTGCAGGAGGCAGCCTATCAATGATTCGCTCTTATCATTGATGTTTCTTTCTCTCCTTCTCCCTTCCTCTCTGAAATCAATCAATCAATAAATAAATAAAGTCACCTTTAGCAGTAGAAGATGAATCAAGGAATTGGGGACTATTATTGCATGGCAGTAGGAACTATGTGAAAGGGGAACTTTAGAATGATTGGGCTGGCACAGCCCACTCTCAGTCTAGTCCACTGGAGGGAGTTCCTTCCCCTGGCCCTGTCCGTGCCTTTCTCTTTCCATCTGGTTGCCATCAGGCTGTGCGGCTGCTGGCGGGGCTCTTTATTTATTTATCCCAGTGTAATGGGGTGAGGAGGGAGCTGGCCTAAGGCTGGCATTCCGAGGCCAGGCCACTGAGCCACAGGCGGTTTGCATGGGTGTGTGAGTCACTGGGGCTGCATGCTGCTCAAACCAGACTTGGCCAGGCTCAGGGACAGGCAGCCCAAAATAGAGCCCCGCCCTCTGCAGCTGGCAACCCCTGGCTAGGAATCAGCCCTTGACACCAAAACCTGGGCAGTTGCATGAAGTCGGCTTTCTTAGGGAGGGGAGCCTTAACAGAGATAGACATTTTGCAATTCTCTTTTCTCTCTTCAGAGGAGAGTATTCAGCAGAGCAATCACTTCTGTTGCTGCATTCTGCGAGACTTAATCTGTTCAGTATAATACTTTAACCAACTTCTATAT